ATTTGCAACCTTTGGGCAAAAAAAAAAAAGTTTGCAAAAACGACCATCCAAGAGAGTGGCTTTGCATTTATAGCATATTGCAGTGAGCCATGTGCAGATCTGTACATTGGGGGAACAAAACAACCATTTCATAAATACATGGCATAACATAGGAGAACAAACCCACCAGGACAAGATTCAGCAGTCCATCTGCATTTAAAAGACAAAGCCCACACTTTCAAAGATAGCAAAGCCCACATTTTGGACTTGTTTGAAAAAGGGGTCACAGCGGCCATCTACGTCAAAATTGAACAGCCTTCCCTCAACAGAGGGGGAGGGATACAACATCATCTATCTCCAGTCTACAACACAGTTCTTTTAGCAGTTCCAAGAAGGCTCCACACCCATTTGCATTACTCAGGTGACCCTGATGACAGAGATAAACCTCCAGGTGGCCTCAATGACTCTAAAAGAATGCAAATGACCAGCTGTCTGCAAGGAGTATAAATCCTTCCATTCCCCACCATCCAGTCAGAGCTGAAGAAGCTTCTTGGATGAGAAGTGAAATGTCTTCAAAGGAAAACAAAGAAGCCCAGTTGCACCTTTGGGTTTAAGGGGAGAAAGTACATTTAAATTTACTGATTTAGCAAATGTAGATTTACTCTAGATTTCTGGATAATTTTCAAAAGAGTGTAGCAATAAAAATATGTTCTGTGACTAAAACTGTAGTGTGAAATGAATGAGGCTAGGAAGCATAGTCATTGGTTTTTAAATAGGAGAACTATGAGCTCTGTTCAGTTCTGTTACATAAAGTAATTTGGACTTGCAAGTTCTTTATATATCTAAAGAATTAGCATTTTAGAAAAAAAGATGTAACTTATAGATGTACATTTTGAAAAGATAACGTTTTACCTGTTGATTGACATGTTCCTTGGTGGATAATGAAGAATAGAACTCTAGTGAACTTTGACTTTGTTCAGAAATTGAATTTGCCACATCTTTCAAATGGCTGTTATGCATAATATATATGTTTTTGAAAGTGGGCGCTTCAGGCATAATTTGATTCAGTGTGTCTATAAAATAACTTGGTTTCAGTTATGAGCACCAAGAAATCTGGGGGGGGGGGTTTTCAGGCCCATGGACAGAATATGTGATTAGAAACAGGTCAGATGTTTTGTAAGGATGAAGTCTGTATGTATGAATGTGAAAAAGAGAAAATATAATCTCAGATACAGCTTTTATTGGATGCTGAATTCAATTATGCTGAAATTCAGCCCCAGTTCATTATAAACTGAAATGATTAAAAATGCATAGATGCAAAATATAATGTCCACTTGTTGCATTTATTATTATTATATTGTCAATGAAGAGATGGTTTTGCCATGGAATTGTTTTAATATCCATGAAACACATTAGGAAATAATTGTCTCAAAAATAGTATTCAGATGACATTCAAATCCTTTTCTTTTTTAAAAAAAATACTAGACATATTTTTGGATTATAGATATATCAGTAGTTATCTGTTATGAACTCTTAAATGAAGTTCTTTTAATTAATCTAATTCTAGCCATTTGGGACAATAAATGATGAAAGATTATTGTTGCACTTGTGAGTTCAGAAGGATATTTTTCTGGTCCCCATTTAAAGATAGGCATGCTGAAAAAGATGTTGCCTTGTAACTCAGACTGACTTCAGTAATACTGTTGTTGCCTCCATTTCCAGTAACTGCACAAACTCAGCTACAGTTCTCTGAAATAAGAAAAGATAAGATAAATAAATACAGATAAATGCAAGCATCAGCAATGCACTGTTGCTCATTTTTCACTGGAGCTGTTTAGAAAAGATGAAAGGAGGATTTAAGAGGTCGGTGAAACTGAACTCCACGTCCAAACGTCTTCTCAAGGACAATATAGAACCCTCAGGATAACTGGAATGCATGATCACAGGAGAGAAGAGTGAATAGAATGTATTTCTGATTCTAAGGCAATGGCCATTGTCATTAGATGAAGTGGAATGTTCTGATGGTAGGAGCAAGCATGCCCACTTTTAGTTCAGGGCAAACAATCTTCCCTGATTGCTTTCGTTATTCATTGTTCCAGAAAAATATCTTAAATATAAATATGTGCCCCAGAGGTGCCAGCATCTAGCCCAGGGCTTTTCAACCTTTTCACCCATTATACCACTTTTCGGATATGGCAACATCCGAGTACCACCAGTCGCCTAGCAAGGTGTCAAAAACTTGATGATCCCCCCCCCAGAAAGGAAAAAAGTGATAAAGTACAGGTAGTCCTCGACTTACAACAGTTTGCTTAGTAACTGTTCGAAGTTACAATGGCACTGAAAAAAGTGCCCCCCAAGCCACAGCCGAGCAAGACACCTGCCTGCCCGCCCGGCCGCACTCTTCCTCCGAGGTTTTCATTGTTCTGAGCATTTCTGTTGGGGATTGGCAGTGGAGGTGGGGTGGGGGTGTTTGGTTTTTATTCCCCCCGTCTGCTGGGTGGTTGCAGCAGGTTTTGGTCACTTCACATGACTCTGGGACACTGTGACAGTCATAAATATGAATCAGTTGCCAAGCATCTGAATGTAAATCACAAGACCCTGGAGATGCTGCAACATTCCAGCTGATTGGCGCTTCTTCTGGGCTCAGCAGAAGCTCCAGGATCAGCGCCGAGCTCCAGCTGGAGCCTGGTGCTGATCCTGGCGCTTCCCCTGAGCCCTGACAGCCCCAAAGAAGCGCCGATCAGCTGGAAAGCGGCACTGATCCTGGCGCTTCCACTGAACCCTGACAGCCCTGCAGCTCCAGCCGTCTCGCTCAGGCTTGTGCGGTGCTGCCACCGGTTCAGCTCATTCCCCTCCCCTGCTACCACTTTTCTAGGATGGTCGCGTACCACCTGCCAGGTGCCAGTGTGCCACAGGTGGTACCCATATCACTGGTTGAAAAGCCCTGATCTAGCCAACCTTGCCTGATTTCAGTTGATCAGCCCATGTTAGTATTTGAATGAAGGACTGCTTCAGTTTTCCAGAGTTGTAAGCTAGACTGAGTTTGTATGGGGGGAGGGGGTCCAGAAAATAACAGCAAAGCATTTTCATATTGTTGTCAGCAAAACTGGATTGTCTTGAGGGTGTCTTTATAATTTGAAACAAAATCCAATTCTATACTTGTCTAAACAAGATTTACAGATATGTTTCTTTTAAAAATAATTAACCCCGTTAATGTAAGGGTTATTGTAATTATGTCCCTGAGTAGAAAGGTGGGTTTTAAATTGAATGGACAACATTTTGGAGACAAGGGCAGCAGTTAAGTTTTTGGTGGGCCTGAATGCACAGAACAATTATATCTGCTTCCCAAAAGGGAACTGCTATACATTTTTGCAATCACAGTAGAGAGAGTCCCAGGGAACATAAAAAAAAAAAGCCTCAAGCCTGCAGGTTTTCTCCTCCCTGTGGCAGTAATACCTATTTAATATTATTTTACAGAAAGAATCTACCACACCTTTCAATGAATTTGCATTGCTTTCTGCAGTTAAAAACAGCTTGGGGCAGCAAGATATTAATACATGCTATGACAGATAACATTCCTAAAGGATAGCGGCCTATGTTTCAAACAAGGAGAAGGTATAATTAAAAATCTCATTGGCAAACCCCTCCTTCCAAGTGTTCCCCAATAAATAGGCTGTCACCAATCACACTGCACCTCCTGCCATGAACTAGAGTGTTTTCTTGGAGAATTTATAGCCTTTTCATTAAGGATTTGTCCCTTCAACCATGCTGTTTTTTTGTGATTGCTTGAAGAAGTCCCTACAGTTTTCTTGGCAGGATTTCAGAAGTGGTTTGCCATTGCATCCTTCCTAGACTGACAAAGAGTGACTGGCCCAAGGTCACCCAACTGGCTTCATGCCTAAGGTGGGACTAGAACTCATACTCTCCCAATTTCTAGCCTGTCGCCTTAACCACTATGACTGTACCAAACTGGCTCAATCAGCCATGCTTTAGGAATAAAGAAAGCAAAGGTCTTTCAGTCTTCCTGCCCCAAGCCGCAAAGTATAATTTTAATAAATGTGGTGACAAATATCTATGTTTGTGATTTTACCCCAATTTATTGCTACTGTAGCATGTTTCTCTAGGCCAAAATCTGCGCTAAAAAATTCTTACAATTTTTGTCAATGACTGAATTTCAATTTTTGATTTTCCATAAACCTTTAGGTCATCCATATAAAGCAAATGTGAGGTTTTATTAGCACTTTTTGCTGTTTGACAGCCAACATTTATTTTTTTCAAAATCACTGAAAGTGGGATCATAGCAATGACACATAATAAGGGTTATAATCAGTCACCCTGGAATATGCCTCTCCTAATGTTGGTATACTTTGTCATTTCCAACCAGCAAGTCTGTCTTCCACTGCTTCATCATTTTTTCTATAAACATTTCAATGGCACCAGTTGTTTCCAAACATTTGATTATTGTAGAAGGAGTAGCAGAGCCAAGGGGAAGAGTAAAAAGAGGGAACAGCTTACATAGCCACAAACAAACTTAATTCTTTTATCCATCCAGCATTTATATTTTTAGCTGATGTTGGTTTAGAGCTTTCCAAAACTAGATTGTTTCCTTTTTTGTCTGGTTTTCCATTTTCAAGGTTTGGGAGAAGTTTATCTGTCAGTCCTGGCTGTGTCTCACTCAGAAAATTCACAGAGGTAGCCCTTCATAGCTTTGTGAATGCCACTGTATTGAGATCATTTTGGACAACCTCGTTGTGTTTTTCTGGATGCCATATATTTGGGACACAGTAATTTGTCCCATTGAGTCTGACATTCTTATAATCTTTTGCTTCCCCAGATTCCTGGTTTGATATTTCTTACAGCAAAATAGGTTAGTAGAATTGAACAGTATAATTTCATTCTATAGGAAAGCTGGGGAATGGCATTTTTAAATATTCTTATATATTTTAAAAACAGAAGGGAAGTTTCATAGACATAGAAAATAGCACAGCAGGACAATTGTGTAGCAGAAAACAGAGATAAAGATGGAGAAGAAACAAGCATGTAACCGAGACAATAAAAATGTCTCAATTTGGGAAAAGAGTGTGACAAATGCTCAAAATAACCCCCACCTTCATTCCGTATGGTATAAGACCGTGGTGGTGAACCTATGGCACGCGTGCCACAGGTGGCACGCAGAGCCCTCTCTATGGGCACACACGCCATCGCCCCAGTCCTAGGCCTTGAGCTGGATTTTATAAAACCTTTTTGCTTTAGGCTTCCGCCCCCTTGTGCAAAAAAAAAAAAAAAAGGTTCAATCAATCAATTTTAACTTCTCGCATAAAAAAAGATCTTGCAAAGTTAGAATTGATTGATTGAACTTTTTAGTCCCACCCAGTCTGCAGTTACCACCAAAGCCACGCCCACCCAATGAGCCACACCCACCCAATGGGCCATGCCCACCCGGCACCCAACAATACATAAGTGGGTTTTGGGTTGCAGTTTGGGCACTCGATCTTTAAAAGGTTTGCCATCACTGGTATAAGACTATTTCCCTTTCAAGACTGCCATGGAGTGTACCTTGCAATGGGTTCAGGATAATGCTCTTCTGAATTTTGAAACAAGGATCTTGTCCGGGTCACTGGCTGATTTGTAGTAAATAGGTTGTTAATAAATATATAATGGGGACAAGCTGCATAATCCATTTGATCTTTGGTGTTTAAAATGCTTTGTTTCAGAATTGAATTGGCTTGTTCTAATTCCATAGGCAAAAAAGATATCTCAAGAAAAGCTGTAGAAATATAATTACCAGGAAATGTTTTTTTTTACTAGATGGAGTCAGAAATATCTACTATAATTAAAGGGGTAAATCCGACTGGATCATGTAATCATTTCAGCCAGCAGTTACAATTATTATCCAAATTCTAGTGACTTCTGCTTCTTTCTGGAGCATTGTATTCCAGTGAGAGACCTGTCTTGAAAATTTGGATTGGACTTTCTCTTTTATTGCTATCTTGCTGTATGAACCCAATTGAACCCGCTACAATAATTTGGTGCAAGCCTTAATTATAAAGTATTTAACAACAGTTGGAATGAACTGTTGAACTTGAGTAAAATAGAAAGCTTATATAGCCGAGTCCAATTTCTGCCCTTTGGGATATGTAGAAAGGGCATTTCAAGCTCCAGAAGTTTGGAAAACCTCCAGAGTATTTAACAGTTCTGATTTGTTTGATGGTGTGCCCTCAAACTTGGGAAGTTTGGAAAATACAAATATTTTAGATTTAACTTGGGAAGTTTGGAAAATACAAATATTTTAGATTTGGAATACTTTATCACTAGATCCTCATTATTAGAACAAAGCTACCACATCATCACCATAGAAAACTAATTTCATACACCATTAGGCCAGTGTAGGAGGATGAAAATCTAGGCTGTTTAAACTAGCCACAAGTGAATTTATGTATACATTAAACTGCGCTGGAGGTACTGCACAATCCTGTTTTACTCCTGTACTCATTGATATTTCTTTCATTTTATGTCCTTGGTCAGTGCATCTGACTTTCATTCTTACATCTTTATACATTCTAAATATTAGTAGAAGCAGACATTTATCAGTTGTGCTAGTTCTAAATTTGCCCATGGTCTAATCCTGAAAATGAAGTTGAATGCAGCCTTAAAATCAGTGAAAGGCACAAATGCAGATATTGCAGCACTATATTATGGTCTCTAGTGTAAATTTATGTTCCCCAAACTCTGCCTGTTTATCACTCAGAATAGATTCAGATTGAGGTCAGTCTGTGGAAGTTCATCTGCAGGTATATTTTACTAATCATTTTAGACCTGGCAGGAAGGGGGTAGGGGTGAAATTAAGTTGCGAATATAGATGGACCTTTTACAGTTACTCCCTAGCATATTTTATAGATGTCTTTTTAGTTATATCAATTTGTTTTTTATATTGTTTTCTGTTCTGCTTATCAGACTTGGAATTTTAATTGAATGTTGATTTTTTTTGGGGGGGGGGGTTGGCTGGGTTCTGCCTAAACTCCCTCACACAAGGAAAGGCATTAGGACGGAGAGAGGGCGAGTTCTGATGTATAAATGTTGCATAAATTATTAAAACAACAAAAATTAAAAGACCTCAAAGGAACTAAGAAGGAACATTTAAGTAAAATTAAAATAAGAAGACACTCTAGCACTGGCCAAACCACATGCAAGGGATAGGAAAAGGATTTCATAATCTGTTACTCAGCTATTATTTTGAGTGGAACTTCTTGGGAATAAAGATACCAAAACAATATTTAACGCATGGTTTTGGCTGTCATCTGTTTCTGTTTCTAGATAACAACTCTGATTAACCATAAAGATAAGCCAAAGAAGTCGGATAAGACATTGAAAGCAGTCCAACAGGTGGGCCAAGCGGTTTACCTAGCTGTTGGAAAATTTGTCATGGTGGGTGAAGCTATAGCCAAAGAAAACCGAGAGCTGAAAGAAGAAATGAAGGCAGCCTGCACTGAAGCAAAGCAAGCAGGTAGGTGAAAGTTTATGAACCTAAGAAGCAGGGCATCATTTGCTATAAAAATACCTGCAAACATTTCAATTTCTTAAATGTTTGGAGAAATACCACAGGAGATTATTTTAGATCAGACATCTCAAGTTTTGCTGAAATTGTATTAACACCAACTGTTGATCTGTGGTATTCAGTAGGAAAGCATCATCACAAAGAAACTGGAATAGACACAGTTCTCATAAATATCTGCTGTGATTTAAAACAGTAACTCTAATTATAAATTTATTGGTTCTTTGGAGCATGAATTGCAGTTCCTAATTTCTCAGAATGTTGAGTGATGTGAGCTGGACAGTATTCTAGATGCTTCATGCTTTAAAATGGGACCAAATTCTTTTCGATGAGGAGTATTTGATGATTACAACAGCCTTCTTTCTCAAAATATGGACGTTTACAGAAGAGGAACTAATTGACAGGGCGATTAAAAAAGATATACCACTGTTCTCCATATTTTGTAAGCATAAAAATGACTAACTAGGACATATAGGTAGTCCTTGACTTACAACAGTTCATTTAATGACCTTTTGAAGTTACACTGGCACTGAAAAAGTGACTTATGATAGTTTTTACACTTGTGACCATTGCAGCAGCATCTTGATCACATGATCAAAATTTGGATGCTTGGCAACTGGCTCGTATTTATGACGGTTGCAGTGTCCTGGGGTCAAGTGATCATCTTTTACGACCTTCTGACAAGCAAAGTCAATGGGGAAGCCAGATTCACTTAATAACTAACTTAACAGTTGCAGTGATTCACAACTGTTACTAACTTAACAGTTGCAGTGATTCACAACAACTGTGGCAAGAAAGGTCATAAAATGGGGCAAAACTCATTTAACAACAGTCTCATACAGCAACAGAATTTTTGGGCTCAATTGTGATTGTAAGTGAAGCACTATATATATATTAAATAGATCTACATATGTATATGGTCTACTCAGTAAATTTTCATATTTTGTGATGCTGTAACATTAATGAGTTTCCTTGGTCCCCAAATCATAATAAGACAAATTATAAACGTTTTAAAATAAAGGTGAACAAGCTTACTTCCTGCTACAACATAAGCAATGTCCTACTGTATCAGACAGTAGCCTATTAAGTCCAGCAGTCTCTTTTCCTGGTGGTCCCCCATTGTGCAAGAAAGCCCATTAGTCTCCCACAGATGGCTTTCAGAGGCAATTACACTGCCATCAAAGCTAATCACTATGGATCCCCAGGATTTCCCTGAATTGGCCCAACACTTTTTTGAAGTCAGCCAAGCTGGTAGCCAGCACCACATCTCGTCATAACCAGCACCACCATCTCATTGATAAAAATAATGCACAGAATTTAAAATTCTCTTTCTGCTCCACTGATGGCCTAGAGCTCTTTTGTAAAATACGGTTTTTAACCAGTGGATTCTGTATTTGGAGCAAGGCTGAACTAACTACTTTTTGCTTTTAGGTGAGACGATTGCACAGCTTACAGACATTGCAACCTTGGATCGTCCAGAATCTGATGGCCAGATAACAATTTTTACAGACAAAACAGGAGTGGTAAAAGCTGCAAGGCTCTTGCTTTCCTCGGTTACTAAAGTATTGGTGTTGGCTGACATAATAGTTATTAAGCAAATTATAGCTTCTAGAAACAAGGTAATTATGATTTTGTGAATACTGATTGTACATTTTGCAAACAGTTTTATATTGTATATTATGGAAGTGACAATTAAATATTTTTAACTGAAGTTGAGTTCAGTACATGGTCATTGTGTGTGTGTTTGTGTATGTGTATGTGTGTACATACATTTTCTTATTAATAGGAAACCTAAGTGCTAAATTTAAGCTAGATAATACGTAATAGATATGCATAGCTATTATGGGAGCAATAAATAAGCCTTTCATCCAGTAATACATAAAGTTAAACTGCATTGTGTATAGTAAGAGTACATAAATAATCTTGACTGTATGGCCATGCAGAACTAGTTGCATCTTAATAGAGAAAACAGGAACTGATTTTGAGAAATTCTAAATTTGTCTTATCAGTGATACATCAATCATTCATGATTTCAACATATTTAACAGGTCCTTATGACAATGGAACAGTTAGAGAAAGTGAGCAGTTTTCAGGAATTTGTGCAAATATTCAGCCAGTTTGGAAATGAAATGGTGGAATTTGCCCATTTAACTGGAGATCGACAAAATGTAAGTACTAGACAAAAGTCTGTCTGTTCAATGCTTTGTAGAAAACAGTATTTATTTATTTATTTATTTATTTTATTAAATTTATATCCCGCCCTTCTCCTTGCGGACTCAGGGCGGCTAACAATCGGGTAAAAATACACAAATAACATTACAAGTTTAAAAATTAGTTAAAAAGGAAATATTTAAATTTGATCTAATTAAAATATAATTAAAACCCCCTCTAAAAGTTTCCCCTAGGCCAGTCCCGCANCTATAGTCAGCGATGGGGTCAGCTGACTATGCCGAGGCGCCGGCAGCCACAGCCACTCGGTCTTGGAGGGGTTGAGCCTGAGTCTGTTCCTCCCCATCCAGACCCGTACGGCCTCCAGGCAACGGGCCATCACGTCAAGGGCATCGTTGGGGTGGCCTGGGGTGGAAATGTACAGCTGCGTATCGTCAGCGTACTGATGTGTGTGTGTTTGTGTATGTGTATGTGTGTACATACATTTTCTTATTAATAGGAAACCTAAGTGCTAAATTTAAGCTAGATAATACGTAATAGATATGTATAGCTATTATGGGAGCAATAAATAAGCCTTTCATCCAGTAATACATAAAGTTAAACTGCATTGTGTATAGTAAGAGTACATAAATAATCTTGACTGTATGGCCATGCAGAACTAGTTGCATCTTAATAGAGAAAACAGGAACTGATTTTGAGAAATTCTAAATTTGTCTTGTCAGTGATACATCAATCATTCATGATTTCAACATATTTGACAGGTCCTTATGACAATGGAACAGTTAGAGAAAGTGAGCAGTTTTCAGGAATTTGTGCAAATATTCAGCCAGTTTGGAAATGAAATGGTGGAATTTGCCCATTTAACTGGAGATCGACAAAATGTAAGTACTAGACAAAAGTCTGTCTGTTCAATGCTTTGTAGAAAACAGTAGCAAAAATTACCTCATTCTCAATTCTGCCTTTTTACAGAAAGGCAGAATGGTCACCTGGTTAAAAACGTACAATTGGTGTTTATAATGTGTGCACCCAATCTGCAGTTTATTGAGTATTGTAAGACATAAAAGTGCCTCTGAACAGTGAGATTCCATCTGAGCTGTCACGGTTAATAACCATAAAAGGTATAATACCACTGACTTTAGTAATACTAGTGACTTTTAGTCTCAGCATCTGTCCTAATTGAGCCATAGCAGCAGTGTTTTCTCCCAGCTGTGAAGTACTGGCAGTCTTGGATGACCCAACATTTGCAAAAGTACAAAAGGAAAAAAATAAAGCAGAAATATACTGGGAAACTACCATCGTTAAATAAAAAACAAAACCCCCACAATAGGCTGAGTATGGAATGCTGACTGACCATCAGTGGGAAAATGTTCATAAATAGATTGCTGGGTCAGCAGAAATTCTTTCTCAGCATGAAGAGCGTGGTGAGAAGTCTGCAAATAGCTTCCCACTTGAGCATCTAAGACTGCCTGCCAGACTTTGCCAGCAAACTACTATGCTGAAGAAAAGCACCTTGATTTTGTGACAAAATGAGATGTTTCTGACAGACATAAGACACTAATATTACTTAAGCAAAGAGAAAGCCCCCCCCATTTAGTTCCAAAAAGGTGTTCCAGATCCTTAGGACATATCATATTGTTGCCTGGCCCTCTGCTGCTATCTACCTTGAAGAAAGTGGTAAAAAAGTGTGGTTACTTTTCCTGATCTAGACGAGCAAACAATTCCTTTAATTGTTCTATACTAGCAAACAACTCCTTTAATTCTGTTGAAACCAAATCTAAATTGTTAGATCTTTTGAATTCCTTCTCTGTAACTTCTATATTGTAAAAGAAAAAATGTTGTGTTATATCTGTAGAATGTTTTATATTGATAAATCAGAGATATGAGACATGTCTCCTTTACTGACTGAAGCTATTTCAGCTATCATTCTCATTCTACTTGGAATTCTAAGAATTAAGTAGAATTAACATCTTCATCGTCGATTAACTTGTCCAACAAAGGGATTTTGAATGTCGAAGGCTGGGACTTGTACTTTGGGTGGCATGCTTATCTTTTTATGCAGAAAAAAACTGATAAAACCTTTAGAAATCATATAATAAGGTCTGCATTGTTAAGAGTTTGGCAAAAATACTTCTTTAAGTTTAATGTTAGGTTACCACTCTGGGTGATCCCGTCGCATATTTTTCAAGCTATAACTAGAGGAGTGGTGATGGAGGGACCTACCTATAAAGATTTGTTATACCAGAGTGGTGGTGGTAACTGGTGCCTAAAATCAATGGATGTGTTAAAGCAAAACAACCCAAATTTTTCTTGGCTTTTGTATGGACAAATTCAAGATAGATGGCGAATTGATAAAAAGACTTCTTTTGTTTTGGAAGATGGGATTTTTTTGAAGCAAATAAGAAATGGTGCCAAAGCTCATATTAAGAGGATATATAATGTTTTATTAGAATTGGACTCAGAAACTGAACTAGTTAAAGACTGTATGATTAAATGGGCTCAAAATATAGGAGAAACAATACCTATGGACACTTGGGAGCTGATCTGGGTGAGAAATGTGAAGTTTACACAAGCACAAAATTTACGTGAAAATTTTTATAAGAT